TATATCTAAGCATTCATGAGGCAAGTTGGAAGCTTTATACCTCCAATGAGTGCCAAATGGTGAGATAATCTCGGATCCTTGAGCTCAAGATACTCAAGTTCTTCTTCTCCAACTTCTCCTTTCTTCTTCCAAGCTCCATATCACCAAAGTAAGCTTCACATGGCGAAATACACTCAAGGATGAAGTATGAAAGGGTTTCTAGGGTTTTTGAATCGAGGTGGCTGGTAAGGAGGCTAGGATTTGGAGCAGAATGTTGCTTTTATATGGCTTAAACCCTAAAAATTAGGGTTTTGAGTCTGCTCGCGTACGCTGCGCGTACTCATTGGTACGTTGCACGTACGCGCATGAGCCCCCCGAATCCAACGCTGCACTACGCCCCGCATACGCCAAGCTTATGCCCATCGTACGTCTTCGGGTAGCCCAACTACAACGACCCACTTTCCTAAAGTCCAACTCAATAATCCACTTATCCAATTCATAGTCCAACAATAAATAATGAGTATTTAAAATAAATAATACCTCAAGTGACGGATGTTACACGAATCCCTTAAACTAAGGCTCTGATACCAACTTGTAACAGCCCAAACTTCCAATAAATTTTTTCGTTTTTTTAAAACAAAATCATTTGCAATAAACATGAGATACTAATCACAATTGTTTTCAAAATCCATAACATCAAACATTTTATTCATAATATCAGAGTGTCCCCAAATAAAACGCCGGAGAGTACACGCCGTACCATCATGCCAGGCTCTTGCCCTTAGATCCTGAAGTACCTGAAACAACTAACAAATTGTAAGCTAATGCTTAATGACTTCCCCAAAGCATACCCCACACAATCCACATAATCACAAAATCCATATTAGCTATATCAGCTACATAAACCACATAAGCCACACATACAAAGATATAAGGATGCCATGGAAACCCTCCAAGGTATTACTCCAGGATGTTGTGGGCTCCCCCAGGGTCTTATACCTACATGCCATGGGCTCCCCCCATGGTCATTACCTGGAATTCCATGGGCTCCCCCATGGTCTGATATCTAACTGCCACGGGCTCCCCCTAGGGTCTTCCATGTAAAGGACACAGAGTCAACAAGCATACCACATGTCACAGAACATAACTATCATACTACACAACACATATATAAACATATAGGGATGCCCTGGACTTCTTCGAGGGTCTTACTCCAGGATGCCGTGGGCTCCCCCTAGGGTCTTATACTTATGTTCCATGGGCTCCCCCACATGGTCTTAACTACTTGACATGAGCTCCCCCATGGTCTTTACCTGGTATGCCATGGGCTCCCCCATGGTCTAATATCCAACTGCCATGGGCTCCCCCCGGGGTCTTCACATATCTAGTCAATAAAATACTAGCACATTCACATATACATGCATACCATACATATCAGTAGTGAATCCACAATAAACACTACAACTAACTGAATGGGCCGGCCTTGGTGCCTTAGACCCATTGGTATGGTGAGGAGACTCACCTCTCAAGAAATGTTGAACTGATAAGATCAATCCTAACTCGCAGCTCCAACTCAACTACCTACAATCATAACGTGACTAACTTTGTCAAAATCCCGAAATACCAAAAATACCCTCAAAGTCAAACTTGGTCAACCATGGTCAAAGTCAAAGTCAAAAGTCAATGTCAACAGTCCATGTTGGCCCAACTCGTCGAGTGCATCTAGAAACTCATCGAGTTCCTTCAGTGTTCAGAAAACCGGGAAAAACCCTAGCCAACTCGCCGAGTTATCTCATCAACTCACCGAGTTCGCTCAGTATCCAGAAAACAGGAAAAGCTGATCCAACTCGTCGAGTTTTCCCAGTCTTAACATATTCAGCCCTTTCTAGTCGAATGTAAATCCCCAAACTACAGATCCCTAACCATAGAGACGTCTATAAGGGTAAAGTTTCCAACTTTACCCCTAAAGACCATCTAATAAGCTTTAAACCCAAACCCTAGTTCCTTTGAGGAAGGTCTTGACTCATTAAGCCCTTAAACTCTCATCCCATCGTCCCAAAACACATATCTGATGTCCAAAGGTGGACAAATCACGTAAAGTTTCTAACTTTACGTCCATGCATGCGTGAAATACTCTCCAAGGTCATTTTAGGCTTCATTGTGGACATATTGCATGAATGAGACATGGAGGCTATTAAAGTTTGCAACTTTAATCCTCTAGAGGTCTTATAGAGGCCAGATCTACACCCCCAACCTCTGGAAACCTCTTTTCTTTGGACATCCAAGCCAAAGTCCCAAAACCAAGCCCTAGACTACAAAAGATAAGATCTAATGAGCTACATGTCAAGGTTATGACTTTATACCTCCAAGATGCAATCTTTGATGTAGAGTTTCTGGATCCAAGATCTCTCTTCCAAGCTTGATACTTCTTTCTTCAAAACTCCCTTCAAAATCTCCAAAAAATCACTCAACACTCACCAAAACTCAATGAACAAGAAGGGGAGGCGGTTCTAGGGTTTTCTCTGAGTAAGGAGGCTGGTAAGGAGGCCAACCCTAGAGGTTAAGTCCTTTAAATAGGGTACAAATCGCGAAAAATTAGGGTTTTCATCCCCAACGTCAACTCGTCGAGTTGGGGCCTTCCAACTCATCGAGTAGACCCTTAATCCCGCGTCCAAAAAGATCCCTACACGACGAGTTGGAGCTCCCCAACTCGTCGGGTTCCAGTCCAAAACCTTAAAATGTTGAGAAATAAATGATACCTGAATCAAGCGTTACAATACATCATCATCGGAATGTTACATGGATCCATGTCAATACATAAAAAGAGAAGAATTTACGTAGTTATGAGAGAAGCCGATATTATTGATGAACGAGAAGTGATTCGTACAAAACAATAACGGGGCGAAGTGGTGAAACCATGCATGACATGTTTAAGGCCATATAAGGATCGTTACAGGTCAACATACATGGTTAAGAGATCTTAGGTCTCTAAAAACCATGTGGTTTTTGCATGTAGACCATTTCCTGAAGGTGCTCATGAAGAAATAAGTTATTCATATTAAGTTGGTGAACCGACTTGTGACGAGAGACGACAAGACTAAAGAGAGACAACAAGATAGAACCATATGAATGATGAATGGTTTTACAGTGGGACTAAATGTATCATCAAGTAGATTATTGGACTTTGACTCTCGTCATTATCCATAAAACGATCTTTATATCAGGAAAAAGAGCCATTCATATTGTTTCTTTTTTAAATAACCAAATGGAGTTAACAATATTTTCCTTATCAGCCAAGGAGCAAACATCGAAGAAGTTTTATTAGTAATAAATACATTAAACCCATATTTCATTGCATTAAACAAGTTAGGATCTTTAACAGCTTAGACATAATTAAGGGGAACTATGTATGAGAAATCAAAATGAAGGTTGAGTCTTTGAATGGATTTGGTTATATCAAGCTTAGGGGTAGTCATAGGATGAACGAATGTGGTTTGAGGATCACCCAAGGGGTTGTTCGATTTATTAGGAGATAATGGGACAACCAAGTTCGAGCTATTAAGAGGAGGTCTAGTAGTAGCCGAAGTGGCTGTAGGAGACCCGGGTATTATTGGAGGTGGAACAGAGGCTACTATGAAGCAACCTCGGTAATGGGGAGCTTTTGAGGCAAGGGGTACGAATGGGGTGTGGAGAAAGTGAAAAGAGTAAGGAATGGATCATTAAGGTCCCCAACAAACACGTATGAGTGAGGGGTAATGACTATCATGGAACCAAACAGGAAGATAGATTCGTCAAAAATCACATGTCATGAGATGATTATCTTGTTTTTTTGTTTCGGATTTTCAAAAAATTTAGGGGTTTTAATCAATAAAATCAAGGAAGAAATTAGGTTTTTGAATGAAATATCAACATTGAAGCTTTGAACAAAACCCAAACTTTAATGCTTTGAATTAAATCAACCTATTCCTTTTCGATTGGAGAATAATGATGAAAATTTCAACGAAGATGATGCTTTTTTTTCATGAAGTTTTCCCGGTAAATCACATCTTTTGTAAACTATAAAGATATTCAAATTTTAGATGCACATCCACATTATGTCAGTTTAATTTGTTATTGGTCATTAATGATAGCCACTAGAGAAGATGAATGAAGTGGAGTAGGACATGAAAGGGATGGTGGTCATTTACCAAAATAAGAATAGAAAATGTTTGAATGACTTAGAAAACTTTAGTCCAAATCTGCGTAAAAACAAAAGAAACGCAAATCTTTTTAGGTTTACGGTATTCTAAAAAATAAACAGTCTATATAGGCTAATGTCTCTATATGGTCTACAACCCACATATAAAAGAAGAAAAAAAATGCAAGACAAAAAAACAAACACAACCTTATTTCCAAGCAAAATTTTAAAACCATAAAACTAGGATGTAGCGTTTTACAAAGTTGTCTTAAAATTGTTAATTTTTGAAACTAGAAGGACCATTCGCCAAATTTTGTCTTATTAACACTCGCTTGTTTCAAGTTCTTTCTGTTGGTTTAAATAGTCAACCCCCCCCAATTCTCTTCAGAACCAAGATTTCTCGACTCCTTTACCTTTTTTCTTGATCTCGTTTATGTTTTGGCTCTGGTAAATCTTCTTATATTCAACGAAAGCTACTTTTTTGTTTTATGCTTCGTATGTCTATGTATTACTGTTGATCCTTTGATTTACAAATGATTTAGGGTTTTAACTTTTATGAAGCAATTTCCTTTCGTATTTGATTCCATTTGTTCCGACTAATTTTATAAAATGAAAACCATGGAACTCGCTTAGCATCTGTTGATATTCATTTACTTCAGCTGTTGCTAATTTAAGTTAATGAAATCTCTACTTCTTTTCCATTTTAATGTTAAAATCCGACGTAATTAAGTATTTTGAAGTTTCAATTTGTTTTGTTTTTCAGGGATTTAGGTTATATGGTTTTGAATAGATGGTCATGGATGGGCGATTGAAGGTTGAATACGGTTCATTAAATTTGAATACGATGAAATGCAACGAATATGCTTCAATTCTATCGGATCAGAATTTTCTAAACGCAATGAATCTAAACGAGTCATCTATAGATTGGAACTCCATTACAAGCTTACCTGATTCAGCCACTAGTAATCATACCCTTCCATCTTCCTTGAACGATAAAGGAGATCATCATGAAGATCTCGATTTCAGTGACTTAGTTCTCAAGTACATAAACCAGATGCTTATGGAAGAAGATATAGAAGAGAAGAACTGCACGCTTCAAAAAACCGCTGCTCTTCACGCCACAGAGAAATCTTTCTATGATGCTCTTATGAAAAAAGAAGTTCCGTATGATAAATATGCTACATCAGAATCCATCACTTACATTAATGGTAGAGATCTTAGCTGTGATGTTACTGATTCTCCTCTTTTACCTAATCCTCTGATCGATTTTGATTCACAGTCTAGATTCCATCCCTCGTTAAGCAGTACTAGTAATGTCGTGGACTCACCTGTGAGTATTCTAAGTTTTCCTGATATAGTCAAGGTAGAGATCAAACATGAAATCAATTCCATTCGAGATGAATCAAGAGGAAAGAAGAATCATCATTCCAAAGATCATTCAGATGATGAAAGAACTTCCAAACAATCTGCAGTTTATGCTGAACCAACTGTTAGATCAAAGATGTTTGATGAAATCCTACTATATGGTGGTGGAAACAAAACTCATCCTTTCAAAAGTCAACCAAAGGAACCAAAACCGGTCAAATCCCGTGGTAAGAAACAAGGTAGTAAAAAAGAAGTAGTAGATTTAAGAACACTTTTAACCCTCTGTGCACAATCCGTTTCCACAAATGACCAAATTGGTGTAACCGATTTACTAAAGAAAATAAAACAACACGCTTCACCAACAGGAGACGGAATGCAAAGATTAGCCCATTACTTTTCCATCGGTCTCGAAGCAAGAATGGCTGGCTCCGGAACCGGAATCTACAATTCCCTCATCTCCAAACCCACATCAGCAATCGACATCTTAAAAGCTTACCATTTATTCCTCGGAATCCTCCCCTTCACTAAACTCTCACATTTCGTTTCCAACAAAACCATCATCCAAACATCCCAAAACAAAACAAAACTCCATATTATAGATTTCGGAATCTTTTACGGATTCCAATGGCCTTCTGTAATCCAAAGTCTCTCGTCTAGACCGGGTGGCCCACCGGAATTGCGCATCACCGGAATCGACTTCCCCTGTCCCGGATTCCGACCTTCACAACGGGTCGAAGAAACCGGGTCCCGGTTATCCAATTACGCGGAAACGTTCGGTGTAAAGTTCAAATTCAAAGCCATAGCTCAAAAATGGGAAACAATTACACTCCAAGATCTTGAACTTGATAGTGAAGAAACCCTAATTGTGAATTGTCCTTACAGGTTAAGAAACTTACTTGATGAGACAGTAATGGCGGATAATGATAGCCCGAGGAATAAGGTTTTGAAACTAATTAAAGAAACGAATCCAGAAATCTTTATACAAGGGATTGTGAATGGATCATATAACGCGCCTTTTTTTGTGACAAGATTTAGAGAGGCTTTGTTTTTCTTTTCATCTTTGTTTGATTTGCTTGAGGCGAATGTGGGGCGTGAGGTTGAAGAAAGGATGTTGATTGAGAGGACGATTTGGGGACGTGAAGCCATGAATGTGATTGCGTGTGAAGGTGGTGAAAGGATTGAGAGACCTGAGACTTATAAACAATGGCAGGTGAGGAATCAACGGATGGGGTTTCGCCAGGTGGCGTTTGATCGGAAGATTTTGGAGGTGGCTAAAGAGAAGACGAGGTTGTTAGGGTATCATAAAGATTTTGTGATTGATGAAGATGGTGGTTGGATGTTGCAGGGGTGGAAAGGAAGGATTTTGTATGCGATTTCTTGTTGGAAACCATGTTGATTATTGAATGGGGTTGTATATGAATATGAATATGAATATGATTATGAAGAAGGGAAGATGGTAGGTTGTAGTTGTTTAGAATGGAGTTAAAGTGACATTTGGGGTAATGAATAATTATGTAATAGTGCCAAACTTAATGTACAAACTCGTATTTCAGAATAATTAATGAACAAGATTCCGATGTGTTATAGCATTTAATAAGCAATATATAACAATAACTAAGAGACTACAACAAACGAATTGTTGGAGAAATAGTCTCCAACATGATCTGATGTAAATTTCAGAATTTATTTTTCATAACCAAATCTTTGAAACTAATTTTTCATAGAAAATGAGTTCGAAACTAACCACTTTTCAAACGCGGTTATTTCCAAAAAAATTAAAAAATTGGGCAACTTTCTTAAATGTATTTATGGAATGTGGTCATTTTTTATTATTGTTTTAGATTATTTTAAAATGGGTTGGAAATATAATCGGTCCGGATAATACCGGTTCTAAATAGAGCTCGGTTAAAAAACGGTCTTAAAAAAATCTGATTTTGTCTGAACCGGTTTCGGTTATAATCAAGATTTTTTGAAGTGAAATTTTGTTCAAAAAACCAGTCCGGTTCACTTTTTTTTTTTTAAAAAACACAAAAAAAAAAAAAAAAAAACAGATTTCATTTTTTTTAAAAAGCTATATCAAACTGACAATTTGGTTAACCCATGGTTGTTAAAATCGCGACCTGATCGTACGATCCTACGATCCTAGGTATGAAAAACGATCCGGATCGTAAACGGATCGTATTTCGGGTAAGATCGCAGGTAGGATCGTAAGATCGTAGGATCGAGATCCGATCCGATCCTACCTTCCTTGATTTTTTTTTTTTTTTTTTTTTTACCATTTTATGTCTTTTACCCTTTACCAATTTACCATTTATCATTTTGTGTTGTGACTTATAACTAATATTTTGAAGTTTTTATAACTTTTGAACGAAAAATTGAATGTTTGAAATATTTTTCATGATTAAAAATTATAAGTTAAAATTATATTTTATTTTGTGGGATCTTAGAATCCCGATCTCGATCTTACGATCCCGATCTTGCAAACCAAAAAAACGATCCTACGTAGGATCCTGATCTTGACAACCTTGGGTTAACCTAATTGGTTCTCAATAAAACCAATTCGGGTTTTTGACCACAGTTAAAAAAACCGATTTAACATTCATTACTCATCATTAGGGTACTAATGGAAGTAACCGAAAGCAATTCCAGAACCGATAAACCAAGATGCAAAGAGGTGAAATAAATGATTCGGGGTACCACAAGGCTCGTGCGAGCTTCCTATAAAAACATACACCCCATATGCATTAGTCACACAACCAACATATGTATATTTTTCTCTCTTAGGCATTGTACTTTGAATGAGGTTCCAATGCTTCAAAGGTGACACCAATAGACTCTTAAGCACCTAATGATGAATAAGTTACTTCTAAAAATAACTCTTAGCATGATTAACATGAAATTAACATCCATAAATTGGATATTAGATGACTATAAACTCTAAATACTCAATAGAAACAACAATGGAGACATAGTCGTAAGATTGGTATTTCTACAACATGTGACCAATGATTTTCTATCAAATGACACCAAAACATGATATATAACTTATTTCACATAAGATTAAGATGTTATGAAGGTCTACGACTTAATTGTTGGTTGACATTAAGTCCCAAGTATTTAATGACACACAAGGAGGTCAAAAATCCACCAAGAGCGAAATAGACACCAATGGAAGTACGATTCACAAGTTAAAGTAAATAATTGATAAATTATCACAAGTTAAGCTACAAAATACTATCATACCATCAAAGGAAACACGAAATTCGGTAACCATGGAAACTAGGCTAGAAAATCCTCAAAACAACTCCATGGAAGCTTGAATTTCTACAAATTCAAAGCCATAGCTCAAAATGGGAAACAATTAAATCCAACGTCTTGAACTTGATTGTGAAGAAACCCTAATTGTGAATTATCCTTTGAGAAACGTGATGAGACAACAATGGCAGATAATGATAGCCCTAGGAATAAAGTTTTGAAACTTATTAAGGAAGAGAGTCCACAAATCTTTATACATGTGATTGTGAATGGTTCATATAATGCGCCTTTTTGTGACAAGATTTAGGTCCCGTTTGATAGTTGCTGTCCGGGAAAGTGTTGTCTGGAAAAATGCTGTCTGGGAAAGTTTTCTATCTTGGAAAGAAACCATGCTGTTTGATTTAACATCTGAATAACTATGCTGAATGATGAAAAATGACCAAATTACCCTGCAACCATAAATCAATTAAAATCCAAATAGAAACATACTAATTTGCATACAACATTGAAAAACAGCAATAACTATGAAATTTCAGCATATATATTAAAAAAAACAACATGTATATACACAATTCAGCGTATATATGAAATTCAACATGTATATTAAAAAAACAGCATATATATACACAAATCAACATGTATTTTCAAAAAACAATATATATATATATATATATATATATATATATACACACACACACACACACAATTCAACATGAATTTTCATAAATTCAGCACCTATGTAAAAAATACAGCATATATCGGCAGAAAAAAAAACAAAAAACAACATGTTTCAACATTTTTCTTCAACTTTCCGAATCAACATGTATTTTCTTCACCTATGCACGAAAATCAGAAGAAAAAAGAAAACAATATGAAAAACATGAAACAAATTCTGATTTTGATACAAAAAGATGAACAAAAATCAGATTTTTAACATACAACTGAAAGAGATGAAGCATAAAAATCAGAAGAAAAAAAGATAACACGGATGAAACATACAATCGAAATACAATCAAAAGAAATCATAATTTCTGATTTTAATCCCCAGAAGAAATCGACAAGAAATCGGCAGAAAAAAAGGAAGAGATTACCTGTGGGCGGAGGTGCAGGGCGGAGACGATGGCGATGGAGGCTGCTTGGCGGGGGGAGGCTGGCCGGAGAAGACGAGTGATGAAAATCGACGAAGGGAAGACGATGATGGCGGATGGAGGCGACGCAGGGAATACGCTTTTTTTTCTAGGGCATATTTGTCCAACGCGTTTTCTTTTCCATCCAAACTTGGGTTTATTGCTTTGTGGGAAAGACCCATCTTACCGAGAAAGATGATTTTTTTGGTCCAAATCCAACGGTCTTTCCGACCCATTCAGCTGGAAAGATCTTTATGGGTCTGGAAAGACGTTTATCAAACGGGACCTTAGAGAGCATTTGTTTTTCTTTTCATCTTTGTTTGATTTGCTTGAGGCGAATATGGGAGGCATGCGGTTGAAGAAAGGATGTTGATTAAAAGGACAATTTGGGGACGTGAAGCAATGAATGTGATTGCGTGTGAAGGTGGTCAGAGGATTGAAAGACTTGAGACTTATAAACAATGGCATGTAAGGAATCAACATTTGGGGTTTCCCCAATGGCGTTTGATCAAGAGATTTTGGAGGTGGCTAAAGAGAAGACAATTAATAGGGTATCATGAACTTATTATGGAGGTAGTTAAATATCACAATAGAAAAAGTAAATATTTATTTATTTATTTTTTCTATCTATTCTCTTACCATTTTTAGATGATGATAAGCGTAATAAAAATTTATTAATTTTATTAAATATGACAGATGACAGATGTTATAATCTTAAGTGTAGAAAGATGATAGAAATAAACAATACGAAAATATGTAATTAACTTATTACGACACTTCCTTTGTGCTAACGAACTTGCTATATATTATTCGGCAACATATTAAGTGCATGACATGATATCATTCACAACTTTTGAAATTCGATTATTTGATGAGTCCTCTCCTAATTCGACGTCTTCATTTTCTAACATTAAAAGTTAAAACACACACAAAAAAAAAAAAAAAACCATATATGTGATAAAATAAAAGCGCCAAAAAGTCCTGAGTCCCCACATTCGAATGTCACCATCTTCTCCTACCCAATCCCACCCCGACACTGTACACCGACTCAGCAGATCAACACGGTTTCTGATTCCAGCTAGGATCCACGTCACACTGATCCCGCGTATTTCAATGTCAAAATTCCAGCTTCCGGAAGAAGTTAGCATTCATATAATCCTATCATATGTGATATGTTCCGAGTTCCCACCCCATTGAAACTCACCACCAAATTACTCTCTCAAACAAAAATCAGAACCCATTGATTTCGATTTAATGGAGGTAGACGGTGGTTATGTGTCGACTGAGGATGGTTGCAGGACGCCGAAACAAAGTGGGTGTAGGATTCCGGCGACATGCCCTCCAGCGCCGAGGAAGAAACAGGCGTATTTGAAGCAGAGGAGCCCGCCGGAAAATGGATATTTTCAGCCACCTGATCTCGAGATTCTGTTTGCGATGCCACCCACACCCATACGAGAAGCTTGCATTTGATAATTATGATTAAAACTCAGTACTAATATGTTGTTCGTTAATTTCCCATGTTACTCGTCAATTTGTTCTTATTCGAATTGAATTCTTGTAATTAATTCTTCATTATTTAGTAAATGTAAAAAGATTGAGGAATTGCTTATCTTTTTTTTCTTTATTAGATTATAGAACATGTTGCATCTTCTTTTTGAATAGCGTATCCCAAATTAATGTAAACGATTGGTGGTGGTTCAGTTATGGTTGAAGTATTGAACCCTTGGTAAATGGTGGAGCGAGAAGGATTTACGTATTAGTATTTTCTAAGACATTTTCATGAATGATTTGTTATCAAAGTTTATAAATAAAATCAATTCTTGGAGTTCATAGCCAGGCCCAGGCTGTTCACGTAAGCCCAAATTACCATACTTAGGCCCAATAAGTTAACTAGTTATGTTAGATTATAAGAGTGTGTATGGGGCGGTTTGGTTCGGTTATTGGTCAAAACCGAACCATAACCATTATAATTGGTTAATGCATTTTGGTAGCCATTGGGTATGGTTAATATTGGTTATGGTTAATGGTTTTTGTCGGTTAACGGTTTTGGTTAATGGTTAATATTAGGTAACCATAATGTTCAAAATAATATAAATGACGAAAGTATATTGACATAAAAAATGAAAACGGAATACAAAAAAATCCTCGACGCCAATGTTTGTAACCTAGCTTATAGTAATAGAATAAAATGTGTACCTTGATACTCATAGTGAGATAACACATAGTCACATTTAAAATAAAAAACATTCAATAAAAATATAAAACTTTTAAAAAAAATGACATTAATAATTTCATATATTGATAATTGATATTAACATTAAAATAAAGTCAAACATTCATACACATTCAATGCGATTAAATCAAAAACTATAAAATAAAATAGCCAGACATTTATATTATGTGTTATTTGGATAAAAAAAAATCCAATCACTCATATACATTCAATGTGATTAAGTCAAAAAAATCCTTCGAATAGGTCTATAAAGTCAAAACAATCTTTGATTAGGATTAACGGTGTGAGAAACATCCATTTATGATTATGAGTGTGAAGATTAAACTAATTGTGAATAATGTTACAAATTGTAGAATTAGCCGATTAGGAATTACAACATTAATGAATAATCTAACTATTGGCTTGATTGGAAGATTGTGTGTGTCTGCGTGATCAGTCTTTTATGGTTTGATTGTTCGTTCGTCTCCTGATAAGTGAGGATTAATGAATTATATTTTGGAATTTTAATGGGTCTTAAATAAGTTTTACTATATTATTTTATATATAATCTATAATTTTAATATATTAAAATACAAAGTTAGCGGTTTGGTTAATAATGGTTCGGTTAACCTATAAAACCATAACCAAACCGTTAGTTATCGGTTAACAAAAATTAGAAATCGAACCAACGGTTTTTAAAATGGTTCGGTTATATCGGTTAATTTGGTTTTGGTTCGGTTTTTCGGTTATTATGCTCACCCCTAGATTATGCGGCCATCAAGAACGGACACCGTCCTATGTAGGGTTTAATATCATTTATTTTTCTTCATACCATACACCGTTTCAACTATAGTTGATATAAAAAAATTCAAATCACATACCGTTTTAACTATAGTTGATACAAAAAAATTGTTACTAGTACTATACCAAATATATACTTAGTACTAACTTGTTTGGCTACCAACATGTTTGGTTGGCATAAATTAAGTTATATACCAATTTCTTTGTAATTTTTAATTGTAATAGTTAAAACTAGCAACGACTTGAGAATCATAAAAACTCCATATCACCCTTATAGAGGATTTAATTTTCTAAACAAATTAATTTTAGAGTAAATTACACGAATGGTCCTTGTGTTATGGTGGTACTTGCACACTTAGTCTCTACGTCGGGTTTTCCATCTGTGGAGTCCTTAAAAGCAAAATGTGTTGCACACTTTGTCCTTATTCTAACCATGTGTCAAGTGTTGTTGTTAGTGACCCCCATAGGTGGGGGTAATTTAGTCAATTTAGGATTGGGGTTTCTTTTTCCCATGATCAACAACTCCTCTTGTTTGTTCCCTTCTTGTTTTTTTCTTTGGAATTATCTGTAGACAAATTGAAGATGAAGGATCCGATTAATATGGTGGCATGCTCTTCTAGATGTGATGCTATAATATGAACCTCATGCATTCCGAACAACCCCATAAGACCCTTTTATGCTTGTCCAAAAAAAGTACATTGTGATTTCAATTTCGTCAACTACAGCCCTAAATCATTGAAGGGTAATTCGACTCTTAGTCTCTCAGTCTCAAAACATTTATGTCAAGGACCCCGTAGTGGATTTATTTGTTGGGTGAAAAAAGAGAATACAATTCGTGAAGCATTGATGATTTGCAAGTATGGTTAGGTTAAACAAAAGCTTCAAACAAAGAATTTGAAGCTTAAGATATGGTTAATTTTTAGTTAACTTGTCTTCTTGGGCATAATAGTTTACAAGTTGTAAGGGTTTGGTAATGACACTTAATTGGCTTGTCTTCTTGTCATATTTTTTCAAAAACTAGTTATCTTCTTGTTTCTGTAGCATGGAGTTTCACATTCTCTTTAACCTCTTTAGCTAAGTTAAAAGTTTGAAAAAGGTAAAATGACTCACTCAGAAGGACATTCTCATTTGCAAGTGCTCTATGAATATTTTTAATCGATTTCTTTCTTATGTTACTTTCTCATTCATCTTATGAAGATCCTGATATCAAGTCATCATTGTTTTGAAAGACCTATATGTCCAAGAATCATTATAGAATGATATTTGCTAATGATATATGATCCTACAGGGTCACACATTCTAGCAAGTTATCACTAATTTATTAGTAATTTGATTATTAATAATATTATCAACACTTGTATTTAATTGGAAAATTATTATTTATGAAAATAATATTATTCTAGAGAGAAAAAAACTAGTAAATCATAAGGTATGAGTTTATATGTTGTGTACATCTTTTCGGACCTATTGAAGTCCATTTATATAAAGCTAGTTTATTTAAATGAAAGATACACATGCTAGTATTAAGTTAGAGTAAAAGACACTCTAAAGTCTCTTCTCTTTGTACCAAAACTGTAAGGATCGTAAGGGTATGGGGATTGCTTGTTTGACTTGCATCTTACACACCATACATCTTACAAAGAAATATGCTTTCATTTATTAGAAGTATGGTCCATAATACTTGCATGCGACTATATAAAGAAAAGAATATCTAGTGAAATGGTTGCATTTTATTTTCTTCCTCTTTTCCTCTAAAATACTGTGGGTTTTTCATGGCATTCCCTCTACTCCCTCTTGCAATGTGTTGTGTAGTCTAAGTGCTCTAAGTTGCTTCTCCTTTAAGGCTTATTTTGTATAAGTTCTTTAAGGCGTAATAAGTGCTTAATAAAAGCGAAGTATAACATCTTTAAGTGGTTTACTCTTGATTAGTCGATACTAGTAGATGAACCCTCCTTTGTGTTCTTGTCATCTTCATCAACTTCCAATCTCTCGAGAGAAATCAAAGTCTTCAAACGTTGTAATTCTTTTTCCTTCTACATTTGTTTTAATCTTTCTATGATTGCAAAATGATCATTGGTGGGCATAAAATAGTTTTATTATTATTCAAATTTTAATGCGTCCGTTGCTAAACTCGTATATAGTTTTTATAGAATATTTTTGAATAAAAACCAACAATTGGTATTCGAGCCATTTTTGCAAGCTTGGTTTCGATTATTATATTCTTTGGTATCATCTTTGTTTTTGGAAAACATGCTTGATTTTCTTTTATAAAAAAATATCGTACATATTTTCTATGTCAACTTTAAAATGTTTATAATTATTATTTTTATGACTAAAGTTTTCATGCATTGATTTAGCCATAAAAGTTGTCTTAGGAAAACAAAGTGTTGTTATATATATATATATATATATATATATATATATATATATATATATATATATATATATAAGGTCCGGTTCCGGTGAGGACTCTTTTTAAAGTGGGGACTCGTGAGGACACCTTAAAAAATTGAAAAAAAATCTAGAAAAAATACAAATCATAAAATCGAGCATAGTACTATATCCAGGAGATTTTTTTTCATCATTAAAATTGAATCATTGATCATAAAAATTGAATCATGGATCATAAAAATGATCCATTCTTCAATTTTAATGATCCAATTTTTTTTTCTCTCCGATGTAGTACTATGCTCGATTTTATGATTTGTATTTTTTTAGATTTTTTTTTCAATTTTTTTAAGGTGTCCTCATGAGTCCTCGCTTTAAAAAGAGTCCTCACCCGATCTTATCTCTCTATCTCTCTCTCTTTATATATATATATATATATATATATATATATATATATATATATATATATATATATATATTATATATATATATATATATATATGGCTGGGTTATTGTGAGAACTAAAAAAACGTGTGAACTTGCGAACTCATAATCAAATAATCATTTTTCAAAACCAAAAACACCAATCTTCTTCAAATGGTGCGTCTAAGCCATATCTAGGCTCAAAAAAAGATTTGACAATTTTTTTTGTTTATTTTCGAAATTAGCATGTATGCACAATCAACAGTCATATGAACTTCTGATGAACACAATCAGCAATCATATGGACTGTGGATGTGCACAATCAACAATCCATATGACAGTTGATTGTGCTCATCAGCAGTCATACAAAAAAACAAAAAAATCGTCAATTTTTTTTGAGACTAGATATGACTAAGAGGCACCATTTGGAGAAGATTGATGTTTTTGGTGTTGAAAAATGATGAGCTGATTATGAGTTCGCAAGTTCTCACAAATCTTTTGGTTCTGAAAAGAATCCGACTCTCTCTCTCTCTATTTCTCTCTCTCTCTCTCTCTCTCTATATATATATATATATATATATATATATATATATATATATATATATGTATATATATTATATATATATATATATATATATATATATAT